TTGATATAGGTTCAAGTTTATCTTCTATTACTCGACCTATTGCCACATATTGCCCTCCACATTTGTGTCATGTGGCAGAGTCAGTTTTCATTCTTTATGGCAATGGCCGTACACATGCATATGTATGGGATGAGGCAAACCTAGTTGTGCATATGGGCAATCTTGAACTTAAGTTACAGTTATTGTGGGTAGTGTTGAGTCAAACTTTTAACTTTATCCTTAGTATAAATTGGTTGCAGCACAATCATGCAAAGTGTGATTTTGATGTTTCTCCCCTTTGTCTCATATTTCTTTATATTTCATCCATTCCTCTAACTTCTATACCTCTTCATCCCTTTGCTTCTACCTCTGCTTCCATTACTTTTATCTCCCTATTGTTTCTTTCTATGTTTCTTTCTATATTTTTATCTTCCCTTTTTCAATCTCTCTGACAGTCTTTGTGTTGCAACAGTTGACCAGCTTATGAAGGAGTATGCCAGTCTCTTTGAATTTGACCTATCGTCTGGGGCCAAGATTGCCACATATCATTTAATTTCAATTAGGGATGTTCGTCCAATCAAGGTTCCTATTCGTCATTGGTCACCCAAAGAGATCAAGATTTTACGTACAAACGTCAAGGAGATGTTGGAAAAGGGTGTTATTTGAAAGTCATAGAGTCCTTGAGCATATGAATTTCATCTTGTGACAAAGCTTGATGGAAGTATTTGTTTCTATATTGACTATCATCTGTTAAATGAAGTGACAATCCTGAATGTGTACCCTCTTCCTCACACTACTAATTTCTTGGATTATTTGGGAAGAAGTCATTAGTTCACAAAGCTAAATCTTGCTTTTGGATATTGGCAAATACCGATGGCTAAAGAAGATATTCCTAAGAAGGCTTTTCATACATCGTTTAGTTTATATAAGTTTTTGGTGATGTTGTTCGGTTTGAACAATGTTTCTAAGACTTTCCAACAGATGATGGATGAGGTTCTTTGTGATATGTTGGAGATAACTAATAACTTCATCAATGATGTCTTAATCCACTCGGAAGAGACATGGGAGGAACACGTCTATAATATTTGTAAAGTGTTAGATTGGCTACAGGAAGTTAGTTTAAAGCTGAAGTGGTTGAAGTGCGTGTTTAGGTCCAAGGACACAACTTACCTTGGGCACCGTATTTCTTGTGAAGGTTTGCAAGTTAATCTAAGGATGACAAACTTATGATTATTCTAAAGTTCCCTACTCCGAAGTGTTTGAATGATGTGGAACACTTCCTGGGTAAGGTGCAATATCTCGGTCCTTTTTTGGATCATTTTTCTAATCATATTGCACCATTGTGAGCATTACTAAAGTCATTAACGTCATCTTTCATTTTGTCTACAAACTGCAAGTGGGATTTCATGGATCTCAAGCAACTATTGATGACTCTTCTGGTTTTGGCATATTCTAACTACACTCAACTTTTCATTTTGCACATGGATGCTTCTGATATTGATCTTGGAGGTGTGTTGATGCAAGAGAGGCCGAGTGTGCCTGGTCAGTGCTATCCTATTACATATATAAGCTATACATTACAACCAATAAAGGTGAACTACTCCACAACAAAGAAGGAGTGTTTAGTAGTAATTTGAGATTTTGAGAAACTTCATGCATATCTACATGGTTCTTAGACATTACTAGAAGGTGATCATGCTGTTGTTCATTATTGAAGTGGAAAAACCTAGTTATTTGCACTATCTGGTGGGATTTGAAGCTTTAGGTATATGATTTTGATATTGTTTATTGCCTAGGGACTTTTATGGCTGATGTTGATGCCCTTTCTCGAACTCTTCTTCCTTCTTCACTCTCTTCTCATATTTTTTACAAGCTTGTTGTTTCAACATCTATAGAATTTCTAGATAAGGATTCTATGCTATCATCAGTTGTTGTATTTGACATTCAATGTCCACAAGGTGCAAAGCAAGATTTACTTTCTCTTAATAAAGTTTGTAAAGCTAAAAGATTGAGCTATGGATTCGAAGGCTTTGAGATGGGTTTGAAAATCCTGCATCACTTGCTAATGACTTACCATTTTGGCATTTACATTCTCAATATCATTTTGAATACGGCTTTCTTTATTTTATGCATAGTTGTGTTTGGTGCCAATCTTGTAGTACTCCTCCTCGTGCTACTAAAGGATGGTTAGAGTCAATTGCAATTTCTCATTTGTTTGAGTTAGTGGTATTTGATCTTATGGGACCTTTTCCACGATCGACTGCAGGCAATGAGTATGTTATTATTGCTTCTGACTACTTGACTCACTAGGTGGAAGTTGATGCTTTTGCTAGCACCTCTACTCTTGCTAGTGCCTTTGCAACTACTGTTGGATACTTCTTCTTCAATCAAGTGGTGTTTCAACATTTTTGTCCAGAGCGGATTTTTTCGGATAATGTGTAAGCTCCTAAGTTTGGACTTCCCGGGAAGTCACCCAGCCCAGTACTATTCAAACCTAAGGATGTTTAACCTTAAATATCCTAAGACCCTTAACCGATTGGAAAAAGGGGGTGCACTCTTATTCATGGGCCCTTTCTCTTTATATTTGAACCCCATGATCGTCTCTCAAGTCGTTCCCTTTTGCTGCTTATATAATGGTCTTATATTTATGGATAAGGCATTTCATATTTTGACGTCTCAATTGGGGATACACCACACTTTCATGAGTGTTTATCATCCATAGACAAATAATTTAGTGGAATGGCTTGTTCAAATATTCAAATGGATGATCATGAAGTATGTAAACTATTTGGATTGGGATGGTCATTTGCCATCTCTTTAGTATGCATATGTCACAGAGGTGTAGAGTTTTGTTGGTACTTCACCATATAAACTCTTATATAGCCATGATCTAATATTACCAATGGAGTTAGGTTTACCTTTGCAATTACCATGAGTTGCCAATACTAAGTTGTGGGATTAATATTTGACAAGCATTTTTCTTCTTGTCTAAGTAGAGTTTGCTGAACACCTAAGCCACATACAAATGGGACAATAATGGCACTATTAACTCCCATCATTGTCCACTTGCGAAGTATAAAGTGGATGATTTGGTGTTAATCAGTTTTCCCCATCTTATAGTATATGGTTTATCTAAAGGGTAGTCAAAAGGATTATATCAAGTGTTGCAGCAAGTTGGACCACAAGTTTGAGGTTCGGCATAATGTTTAGTGAGTTGATCTTCCAAAAATTGTAACGTTATACAAAGGGATTAAAAACAATTAGTACCACTTACCAATTCACTGATGCCTTCTCCTAATGTTCCTCCAAATCTCGGCCCATCTACAAGAGAACCCTAATAGTCTTCTATTATTCCAAGAGGAGGGGATGATATAAAATCTAAGTTTACGGTTATGATGCCATATACTAATATTGGTGTAATGGGATTTTAGATAGTTGTCGAATTAGTTTCAATTCGGACCACTTGCTCTTGTATATAAATTAAAGTTTTTAGGTTAATTGATATGCACATTTTTTGTATTCCTTTTCCATATTCCATGCACTCACTTCACACTTATTGATTTCTTTTAGATTTTTAATGTTTTGGTTTCCTCTAAAATCTCTGTTATATTTTTCTCTCATGATTCCTAGGGAATCTGGAATCATGAATAACACTTTAAATGCCACATCACCCACAACCCTGGGAGAGTACAAAACTAATCTGGGCTAACAAGATTATAAGGAATGACTCCATAGATATGCTCTGCTTCAGTGGGAGCACCACAAGAAGCAAGCCAATCCACCACCTCTACCACCACCTGAGTTACCAGAGCTTCCTGAGGTGCTCACAGGTCCTCTTGCTGCAGAGTGGCAAGCCATAATAGACTCCAAGTATCAATCACTCTTGACAAATGACACTTGGACGCTAGTTCCAAAGCCAGCTGACAGACAAACCAAATGGCTATTTTAAGTACTAATCAGGTCGTTTGGTTCAGGTATATGGCCTGCAGATTTACACAATGGCTTAGATTTTACTGAGATGTACTCACCTGTGGTACATATGCTTGCTTTTTAGCAGCTCAATATGATCTTGAGGTACATCAGATGTATGTACAGCGTTCCTGTATGAAGATCTCAATGAAGAAATCTTTATCCAGAAACCAAAGGGTTATCAGAAGCAGTTTGTCGCCTCAAGAAGCTTTATATGGTCTCAAACAATCTCCTAAAGCTTGGTTGGACAAATTTCTCAACTCTATTGGATTTTTTAGAAATGCTGCTAATCAGAAACGTATTGAAAAGATGATGGCCCTTATTGCTTTACATGTTGATTTCGTCACAAACTGTCTTGCTTTTCTACAAAATATCAAAGAACAGATTTTTTTCTCAATTTGAGATGGACAATCTCGGTGACATTAAGTTCTGTCTTGGTCTTAATATTATATGGGACCAGTTCCATAGGTGATGAAATTCTCAAATGGTTTCCTGTTTCCACCCTATGGAGGTTAACCTTTATTCTTCAACCATTTCCAACAACATCCATGACCGAAAGACAGCTACGCTATCACTATGTCCAGGAGCTTGTTCTCCAAGTTTGCTCAACCATGAGGCAGCTAGCTGATATACTGACCAAGTCTCTTCCATAAGATAAGTCTGGTTTCAATTGCAACAGTTTACAGTTGCAGGAGTAACAGGAGCAGCCATGACATCAGTAAATCTAGGCCTGGGATTAGTGTAAATCCACGGGCCACATACCTGGGTTTAAACCAAACAACCTGATTCGCTGCGTTCCTCTTAACTCGAAATAACCATTTGGTTGACACCACTTGTTTGTCAGCTGCACATCACGAGCCTGCCATCTAAATTCTGTTGCTTTGGAGCTGGGCGTTTTTGTGTCAATCACGAACCGATGATGGAGCAGCCGTAGCTGGATATCACGATCGACGTCAATTTCATCTACGTCGTCGACTTGGATGCCCGAACTTTCTTTGTGGAGTCCTGATATGCTTCACAGGTTCGCACCTTCCATCCAAGCGTTGAATCAGTTTGGATGAACACACAGGATCGTGTATCGATGGACAAATTCCCAAACAACTGGATGCGGTGGCTGCATGTTCCCACGCCATGGATGCCCACCGCAAGCTAAAAAGAATGTCCTTGAGAAGCTAAACAGTGATGAGAAATGGATCCTCCGATTCGTGGTCGACAAGCTCACCGCTCCATACCAGAGCTTCGAAGAGTGCCCCGAGTTTCTGCAGCTGATCCAGGACTATATGCTTGTGGAAGATGACAATTCCGGCGCAGCTGCTGCGTAAAGATTGAAAAGAGAGTGGAGCAGTTCCGTGAGCCTGGCCAGCAGAGGCACACGCTATCCAGGATGAAGGGACAATGGTTTCCAAAGTCTTGCTTCTTCCGTTCTACAATCGCGTTTGGCGAGTGTTTTATCATTTATGAACTTAGTTTCAATCACCACCCAAGCAATAGCAACTTCAGCAACGCCATACGAATGAAAAGACCATTTTTGGCCTGTCTAAAATACGCAGCTCTTGGATCGACATCTACTTCTGTGGTAATCTGCACACACACGAAACCAAATAAGACAACGAAACAAATGTGTGTGAGACAGATACCTCGTCAAGCCTGGGAAGAGGATGCAAAACAACGGCATGGCTTTGAAGCACATCCACTACTTTGCGGTCCACAATGTACTTTCCACGGGCCTGGTTGTAGAGCTCGATCTTGTCGCCAAATCTCTCGCGTTGAATGCGCGTCTGGTAAATGACATCGCATTTGGATGCCACTTCCATGAGATCCTTCGACTCTTCCCACTCTATGTTCTTGGAGGTAAGATACTCTTTGATATCATCCTTCACACAAGAAGCAAAGAGCTCGTAAGAAAACTCATGGGACTTCTTCTTCGTCTCCTCATACCTTCATCTTCACCACGTCTGGAGAGACGAAGTAGAACTTGACACCATCGTACTTGGCGAGCAAGTAGGCCAGAGATCGAACAGTTCTTCCGTTGGCAAGGTCCCCAACGAGCCCGACTTTGATCCCGTCGAGACGCCCGGTCTCTCTCTGAATCGTGTAAACATCTAGCAGTGCCTGCCAAAGATCCAAGCGTTTTTCCTTACTCGATACAACGAAGGAAGCAAGAACTTTGAGCTACCTGCGTGGGATGCTGCCCAGGTCCATCGCCAGCATTGATCACTGGGATGCTCGACACAGCGGCAGCTTGCTTGGCAGCTCCACTCTCAAAGTGTCTCATCACGATTATATCCGAGTAGCCTTCCACCGTCCTGATCGTGTCTGATAGACATCTTTGAGCTTCCGAGATCGAAGAAAAACAATGGAGAGAGAGAACCAAACCTCACCTTCGAGCGTCTCCCCTTTGGCAGCCGACGAGAACTCGCGAGCATTCTCCGTGGTGAGCACTTCTCCACCCAGGCGCTTCATGGCCGACTCAAACGACAGCCTCGTCCTCGTCGATGGCTCGTAAAACAGCGTCGCCATGAGATATCCCTTGAGCATCGTGGAGCCGCCGCCGGATCTCCCCTCCACGATCGCCTCCATCTCCTTGGCCACGCCAAAGATCCCCTCCAGCAGCTCCCGGTCGAATTGCTGCGCCTCGAGGACGTGCTCCACCTCGAACTTCCGCCCTAGCATCACACCGCCGCTCGCATTCGCGGCCCTGGAGAATCCAACGCGACAATCCACGCGCTGCTGCCATCGCCGCCGCCGCCGATCATCCACATTCCACTGCGGCGACAATCCCTGGCGCGGCGCTAGAGCTACCTCCATCGCCCAAGGGTTTAGGGTTTATCAAAAGCATATCCAGGGAATAAGTGTGTTCTTCGTCTTCGTCCCTTTCACGAAGGTGGTCGTCTCCTCCTGGGAGCCACTTCCTCCTCGCCATCTCTACCAGGCCTGCTACTCGAAAACCCTCTGTCCCTCCTCCGCCTATCGTGATTCCTCTCTAACTCGACGTCAAATCTCCCCGACGAGATCCGCCCAACGTCGCCAGGCCCAAGATCCCACCCCGAAGTTCGAGGCTCTCGCTGCGACTCCAGGCAATGCTGCTGCTGCTGCTGGTGATGGTGGTACTCCATCTCGAAAAACCTCCGCTCGTCTCTTCGATCACTCAAGCGCTTGAGCCCCGCGGGTGGCGACCTCTGGCCTCGCGGGGGTGGTGGCGGCAGCGGAAGCTTTGGAACCGACGACGCCGGAGACATCTCTCTCGCCGAGCTCGCGTACCCCGGAGGAGGAGACCGGCTGTGGTGCCTCAGACTCTTCCGAGGCGAGTCACTCCTGGACCTCGATCTCGATCGCCGACGGATGCTCGGGCTCCTCTCCCTGCGGTGATCCCATCTCTCCGGATGCGGCTCACCAACGTAGCCACCACCTCGACCATCCGGCGCTGCTCTCATTGCCGGACTGTCCAAACTGTGACCACCACCGTAGCTCCTGTCAAACACCCCACGACTGCTTCGCAAGCCGGGGCTTACTCCCACCATTCCCATCCCGGGGCCGACTCTCAGCGCCGGACTCAAACCGATGCCTCTCCCTGGAGGAGCCATGGCTTCCGGGTCCGCTGCTCGAGTGGGATTCAGGATCAAGGGAGGAGGATTCCGTCCTGCTGCTGGAAATGGTCTTCCGCCACCACCCCGGACCACCGCCGCTCCTGGACTACCGGCCTTGGTGATGGTGCCGTCCGGTGCTACAACGAAGCCGCTACTCTCCACCTTTGCAGCGGCCACGGCGGCGGCGTTAGCTTGGCCGTGGGGACCAAACCCGCCGCCACCCTCGGAGAAACGAGCTGGCGGAGAAAGGTGGTGCTTTGGACCCCACTGTCCCGGCGGAACCACGGAACCATTCATCCATGGTTCCGCTCTTCGAGGTACGAGTGGAGAGCTCGGACCACCCCGACTTCTACCACGTCCAAAATCGCGAGAGTAGAACCTGTCCGAATCGTACATCTCGTTCCTGCAAAGAGTAACAAAGCTTGAGTAGAGTTTCCAGATGCAAGAATGGGTCGGCTTACCTCTGATCGTGATGGTCGTGCCTACTCCACGCTGGATCCTCGTGTCTAAACCTATCGTAGCTTTCAAACTGCGACACTCGGGAGCCTGCTGGTGGTCGTAAGCGATTGCCGGTCCAGGCATTTGGCCTCACACCACGCCTGAAAAGCTCCTTGGAAGCACGTAAAGCTTCTTCTGCTGTGTCGAAGCCTTCAGGAAGCTGATCCCATCCAGAAGCCTTTACCCGCCGCGTCGCGCCAACATTCTTCTCTGGTTTGGACTCTTCGTCGCCGCTAGCAGTAGGCTGACCTTCACCGCTTTTGTAATCACCTGACGAAGGACCTTCTTTGTTGTCGTTGTCAGATTCACGTTTGGCTTCGAGCTCGTGAATCTCTCCTTGTTCACCTTCGGAATCCCCTTCCGCTCGCGCCACCTTTTCATCCACTGTTTCCACCGGCTCATCTCCTTCCTCAGAGTCATCATAATCAACGTGCTCAGCATCACAGGCCTCTTCGGCCCAGTCCTCAGCAGTTATTTGACCCTCCTCCACTTTCTCAGCCTCCTCGACCTCCACTCGCACTTTATCTGACTCGGGTTCTTCTTCCTCTTCGAACGTGTCATCCTCTTGAAAGACTTCTTTGTCCTCAGCTTCACCGGTCCTTTTCACCCCGGAGTCTTCAAAGGTCTTTGGATCATCATCCTTGGTGTCACCGTTTATATCCTCGACTGCCTCGGCCTGAGTTTGATCACTACTACCCTTAGCCGGTGACGGAAAAGAGTCAGGCTCCTGTTCCTGTTCCGGAGATGCTTGATAATCGGCAGTGTCCCCCTGGGCTTGACCTTCGTCTCTGGCATTATCAGCTTCATTTTTCTCTTCGGTGCTCTGCATGCTTGTCGCACACAACTCCTCGGTTGTCCTGTCTTTGGTTGCGGCTTCATCTGTATCGGACGTAGCATGCTCTGTGATGTTCCCAGAAACTATCTCTTGAGACTTCTCAGCACCTGCGTCGATGCAGTAATCAGGTCCATCTTCACACGGACGTTCCCACGCATCCATGCCTTTATTCAAGTCCCAGTGAGAGCGTTTGCCATGAGAGTCACCACTGTCAACGTCCTTCCTCATGCCGCCGTCTTCATCTCCATCAATATCCCTTCTAAAATTATCCATACGCTCGTAATCTTCATCCTTCACCAGATCATAATCGTGAAGCCCCGGCTCTTCTTCTTCTTCGACTTTGTTCTGAGTGCACTTTGGTAGTCTTTCGTCCACCACTTTGTCTGACTCCAGCTTCCCATATCTGCTCCCTGAAAACTCGTCCCTGTTCACCTTTATCGACGGAGATGGAGACCTGGATGGTGGCGATGGAGACCGCACAGAATCCATAATTTGTATCCTCCGCTTTTTTATTGGAACAGTGGACGCCGCATTACTAAAACGACCTCCCAAAAGACTGGCTTCAGGCTGGAATATGCACAAGTCAGAGAGAATAGACAGTATGAACACAAGCCATACCTTTCTTGCTTCAACGTCTGCTTTTTCCTGTGCCTCGTGAGATTTTCCTGTGTGTACGCCTTCATCGGCTTCAGTTTTCCCTGGATGCGCCAGCGCACTACGCAATCTCTTGACGCACTTCGTAGAACTGGTGTCCGTAGCAGGGGCTCGTTTTGACGAACGCTTGGATGCAGGAGGCTTGGCAGAGCCACAGGCGTGGCATGTGTGCGGCTGCTTACTTCGATCTTTCTGCGTCAAAACCTCCAGTGCTAGCGTGACACAGCTAGGATGAGCAGAGACTGCAGCATTATCACATGTACATGGCTGTATCTGCACAGAAAAACCATAGCTGTAAATGCTTCTGTCCCAAAAATTCCGCGCGACAAATATCTGCTTCCTACAACTTTTCTACACCGACTGCCAAGCCTGCATGCCCCCTGTGAGACCTCTGAAACGACTATGCACTAGATTTCCTCCGAGTGGTTTCTATCCTGAGAGTTACCACCACGTACCATGGTTTCGAAATCTTCATTGTCTTCGCAGCCACAAAGGGAACAAACGGACTCATCTCCTGTGTCCCTCGCCTTTGGCGTGTTAGTCCAAGAATCTCCTGAATTTAGTAGTACCCTACCCTCCTCCTGCAACAAAAACCTGTCTGAGCATCGAGTGATTATAATGCTTTTCCCCTAGGACTGATGCGAACATCTGGAATCCCTGCTCAAGAACGCACAGGCAATCTCTCTATCATCCATCCATCCACCCATCCATCTCTCTCAAGAGGGAGCACAAAAAGCAAATCAGCTTTTTCCAAAGGCAAGTCTCAGGCAAAGAGGGCACGAAATAACTCCAGCTTCTGTGCACACGAAGGAAGCCACTTTTCCCTGTCAATATATCTATCCTGTGTGTTTTTCCCCACTCATCTGACGTGCATGCCTCGAAACTAACCTGTTCATCCATACTGATGACAAAAACCTCCTCTTTCTGCGCCCTCAGGCAGGCGGAGCAGATGTAATCCGCTGCTATCTGCAAGAGAGATCAAACATCTGTTTTAGCGTCCTTGAGCTGTGCAAAGGACCTCTTGTAGCATCCTGTTTTCTAAAAGCTATAATCCGAGGAGGGAGAAAAGACCACACCTGCGAGCTGGAGTCCAGACACTCCAGATGTTCCCGAGTAGAACACACCTCACAAGTCACCATTTGACCTCTGCTACGGTTCTTCCCACACCTGCAATCCACCTTGTCCCCTTTGTCAAATCCCACCAGCGCGCTCGGGTGCTTGAGGCCCCGCTCGGCATCAAGCTCGTGCTGCTGCGACGATGGCATGCCCTCCATCGCCTGCTGCTGGTGCCGCTGCTCCCGCCACTGGCAAAACGCGGCGCTCCTCGCAAACAAGACCGCCCTCTTCACCAATTCCTCGTCGCCCGCGCTGCTGCTACTCCTAGATCGATCCCGTTGCTGCTTGGGCAATCTCCGGGGATGGAACGACATGGCCCTCAGCTGCCCATTCGCGAGTCTGGACATGATCACGGCGAATCGAAGACCTGTCCACCTGTTTTGGCGGAGGCAAATGTAAGACCTGGTCCGATTATCGGATGGTACCCTATCCAGTCGCGACGACGCGCCCGTGTCCTCGCGGAGGAGGAATTTCTTGAATGCGGGCACGGCATCGGTGCTGGCGGCGAACCACGCCGCATCGCCACAACCAAGATCATCCCCATCAAACCTCCGGATGCGCGTGGGATGCTGCCCCACATCCACCACCACGCTCATCTGCTTGCCATTGCCCGACTCCGTGACGCGCAGCACGCCCTTGGCGCTCGCGCTCGCCCCGACGCCCGCCTTCTTCCTCGCCTTCATCGCCCACAAAAACCCTAAGTCACCGCCATGGTGGAGTGGGAGAAAACGAAAAAGGTCCGCTTTAGGTTTTCGCACCTTTGTTTTGCTTGCCGATAAAGAAGCGTGGAGCCGTCGGATGCAATCGATCGTGCGGTATGTGGCGAGATTACGGTCGGCGCGGCTCGCAATGCGACTGACAAAAGCTGGCGGGGACCAATGGTGTGTGGACACCTAGCGCACTCTGGTTGGGCCACGTGGGAGAATGGATTATCAAACCGGCGCTAGTCCTAGACCTTAGCATGTATAGCTAGCTAGGACCACTTTGTTTTTGGTTGACTGGAATGGATCAATTCAAGAATATATTTCAGGGTTCTATCTGTAAGGATAGGAAGAACCTAGGAAGCTTTGGAATTTCTTGAACAGTGCTCGGGTTTTACACAGAAGAACTTACGAAACCTTTGGGATTTCTGGATGAAGCTCCAAGAATTGTTGTCCATGCCACTCTTTCGGGAACAAAGGGCATGGAATCCACCAATTCTCTCGCGTTTCTAAGCTGGCCGGATC